AACAAAGACGCAGGATTGAGCTACGGTCTATGTGTTGCCCTCTACTTTTACCAGCCGTCCCGAGGTTTCATCGGAACTTGAAGAAAGCCTGGAGATAAAAAATTATCATAGCTTCCTGAAAGAAAGCGAGCATGAAGTCATGCAATTGCAAAGCTATATTTGTCCAACTGGCAGCTTGTATGATAGTGTCCAACTTCTGGAAAATCACCTTAAAACGAATAAGCATGCGCAAGGTCGAAGTGGTATGGTCGAAGTCGAATTTGGGCACGTAGCACAGCTTGTGTGCCGAGGTACTAGCTGATTCCAATTTCATTTTCAAAAGTTGTGGAATGCCTCCGGTCAAACCGCCACACGTCTTCTTGGTACCCAAAATGCCAAAAATTCTTGACTTTAAATCATTCTAGAATTCCGTGAATACTTTTGAGGGGAAGGTAAGACATGTCCCGAGGGTGAAGAACTTTCTCTTAATCTAGCCGATGCTCACAAAAGCGGCAACGCTTTTTTGTTTATCTCGTAACGGTTTTCTTTCGTATTTCCTTGGAAAATCGTTAGTTGTTTCCTCTATATTCGGTTCGACCTTTAAAATTTTGCTACCACAAATCCGTGGCCGATAAATGTCAATTTTCCGAACGTTTTTGACGAAATACTGTTTCGCTCCCAGCCCTGCGGCTGATCAAACAAAACCCCACATTGACAATTTTTCCCCCAATTTTGATCCTACAGTTACAGGCGTTTTTCCGCGTATTGTGGCGGGAGCCATAAGGGACTTCAGGATTGGGCAAATAATTTTCAGGGGATTGGTGTCAATTTTTAACGCGGTTTTTAGGGGTTTTGTCCGATATGTATCTGATCTATCCCGGATTGTGAAAAACGAGACAGTGATTTTAGGGCCGGAATTGTTCGGGCGATCTTACCCAAGTCTTTGAAAATTATAAAAGGTTGTTAAAAAATAGCTTACGGTGTAGTACTACCAATATTATGTTCCAGAAAAGGTATTGCATCCTTTTTACCAGCTATATTTCCCCTTGAAAGTTTTTAGCCGCATGCTAAATTGCACTTTACAGCTAGTCGAAAACTGGATCGAAAGCTCCGCCCCCAGTAAACCTTTACGCCGAGTCCATGGCTAGCCATGTAGCTATTTGGTCAGCGATTTTCAAAGTGGTTTGACATTAATAGCGCATGGTGCTGATGTTGGTTGCACCGACAATTATATGATAGATCAAACTAGGCTATTAAGGTTGCTACGATAACGCTTAAGCTTAAAAAGCTTGTAAGCATCGTGCCGAGCGTTGCGTAATCTTCGAATTTACCGACATTTACCGACATCGAAAATTGCGTACAGGCGCTCTGGAGCAGCCCTTCGTGATGATTGTAATGGAAACAAACCGAGCTTCGCGAATGACTCTGAGCTTTTGAAGTGCAAATATCTCTCACAGGATTCTTCTTTATTATACTGATTTATTCACTATTTATTCATGTCCTAACTGATTGCCACCAAGTAAGAGCTAGATGGAAAGAAGAAACAGTACACTACACGTAAATATCTATACCGGATGTTGGCCAATTCACGGTTGGTCTGGGATAAGTGTGGGATAAGGTTAGGCCGAATACTGTATGGGGATACTGAATAGGGCCGGCAAAGGACCAATGGCAGCAGAGGGCGGGGCTATCCGGCAGAATATCTTGCTACCGTTTACTCTAGAGCTACCGGAAATAAGCATAAAATGAACATCATAAGCGCGGTAACCCGGGTGAATCAGCAAAACATCGCGTTAAGACGATTAACCTTGCCCACAAAGAACAAAACGAAAACGACTCAAGTATGAATATTCTCCAAACTCATGCAAAGAATGTTGCGATGGACCAAAAATTTATACTCTTCACGTTAAGTTGTCCCAAGCTTTACGTCTGCTTGATCCTTCCAGCCCGACCAGCCAATGCGCCCCGACGCACCGCTAAACTGCATTTAGCACAAGGTATTTTGACGTGTCTAATAAATTAAAAGGATCAGTTCACCTTCTATCTTAAGCCCAGCTTTTAAACACTTATTCCAGCGACAGCTTCTACAGTATTCGCCATTACTGAACGTAAATATCTAGGCCTCAAGAAACAATCTCACCTGCGCAGTAAAGAACAATTTCCATCTCTCGCACAGCGAAACCGGCGATAGATCTGGGTTTGGACGGTGCGCTAAAATAAAATAAAATCAAGCATGGTATGTTTTACCTTGAAAAAGCTTTTGCAGCCCTCGCAGGTTCGGCTACCGTAATGCACCCCGGAAGCTTTCATGCCGCAAACAGCACAGAGACCGTGCTGAAATACGTAGTGGAGGGTTTAGAAGCGTGTGAATTTTGATGAGGCCCGTAGCATTTTTGCAATTGTCGAACCAGTCTCTTGGAATCTAAGAATGTCGAAGAAAAAGTTGTTGGTGGTTAAAGGTATCTCGCAATTTCGATGAGATTTGATGTATCCGGTGGTGTACGTTGTTTTTTAATGTGAAAAGTTGTATGAGACCTCACGATTCGAGTCTACTAGTCAAAACTAGCTCTCTCACCTCCTTTGTCTTTTGCGGTTTGCCTTTGGCGCTTTTCGAGGCGGATGAGGTCGAAGGCACCGAGCTCTTGAAATACACAGCAGTGTTTTCAACCCCTAAGAAAAACGGGTAGTCAGTAAACCATTCTGCTAGTGAATCAACGAGGCTGGGCATGCAGATCCTAAACTATCAGATGGTTTCAAGGGGATTTGGCGTACGTATGATTACTGGCAGGCACGGGAGCTTCTGGAAAGTGGTTCATCCTTCTGAGGCTCTCCGTATAACTTCTGTACAGAAACGATCGGCGCTGGTAGGGGGTGGTGGTGTTCTGAACAGCAGCAGAGGATGTACAACCGTGTCTGTCTGTCTGATATCCGACGATGCACACCACCGCTGGCGCCTTTGTGTGCACAGCCCAGAAAGACAGGGTCCACGGATAAGTTCAAATCGGGGAGCAGGTTTTTTCTGTTAATAGCGGGGTTTTGAAAGCATACGGAACTCAAATTCCTCCATCATTCGGTCAGCAACTTCGGGTTGCTAAAACAGCTTCATTTTCGAAAACATCTTGAAAAACACAACTGATGTGTGTCATGCCATAGCTAGTCGTAGCTGGGCTGGATCAGTACGCTTTTTATGTAAATCAGACTGTCTCTGTATTATTTTTATATTCTGCAGACATTTAATCAGTTTTTTTTTGAACAGCAACAAACATCTGCTATCCGCTTTTTGACCAGCAGAACATCAAGCCCAGGCCAGGCCCATAATTGACATTCAGGCTCCTCTCAAAACATTGTTTGCTTAGCGGCTTTAAAAGGGATATCGGGCCAGGGCTTTCTCATTCTAGAATTGGGATTCAGTGAGATAAACCGCCGCCTTCTATATAAAATTCGAGAAAAGTGAAGCGCCGCCGTTTCGGCGTTCCTCGAATTCGCTCAACCGTACCGAAAAAAATCAGAATAGTGGAGTTTGGTGCCGAATCGATGAGCTCACGACTTCGAGCCTACTACATGAATTTTTTAAGGGGAAGGCACTAGAAAGCACAAACTATTTTTTGCATAACGATGAGGCCCAGCCCCAATTTTAGTAAACGCAGCGTCATTTCTCGTTTAGCTTCCAGGAATAAGATTTCCGCGATCTTCCTAAGACGACTTTTTATCATTTCTTCTTTGCAAAAAATAACACCCATCGAGCTTCTTTATTAGTTGGTACCCCATTCAATTCACAATATTTATTTTTTATTTTTATTTCTTCTTTGTCGTGGTCTTGAGTGTCGTCTTGGCAGTCGTGGGCTTGAGTGTTGTTGTCGTCACCTTGACGGTCGCCACCTTGGTAGTGGTCTTGGTAGTCACGGCGGTCGTTGGCTTTGACGTCTAAACACCCAGCTTTGTAAATTAATTATTAAAGTTTTTTGTTGATAATTGACTATTTTAATCCTCTTTCATAAACGCCTCACCGTCGTCGTCGCCACACATTGATTGCAATAGTTCGGGCAGTATTGCTTTCGCTGGGCAGCTGTGTAACCCGACGAAGTGCAGAAGCCGTTGGCCACCCACGTGGCGCAACTGAAAGGTTGGGGATTTTGGCGTTAAGGTTTTGTATAGCAGCACAAAGTCAGGAAGCAAAAACTAACTTAGGATCATCAGTTCCGCAGCTAGCCTTCTTCATCGTAGTGGTCGCAGCTGGGGCGGCTGTTACCATCGCCGTGGTAATTACAAAAGTACTCGCGGTGCTGGCTACGCGGCTTGTGGTAGCGCTTTGGGTCTGTAACGTAGGAGTTGGTTCAGGAGACCGCCTTTAGCTGGCTTACCGAAGTTGCTCCACATTGGCCACAATAGTTCGGGCAGTATTGTTGTCGCTGCGCGGCAGTGTATCCTGATGAGGTGCAGAAGCCATTGGATACCCAGACGGCGCAGCTGAACGCTTATGATGTAGCTGCTTCGCGATAAGCTATGATAAAGCCATCCCTGGTCGCAGGATGGTCAAAATGAGGATAAACCTACTTTGGATCATCAGTTCCACAACTAGCCGTCGCTGCAGTCGTTGTAGCATTGGCTGCTGCTGCCTGAATTGATAGAAAATTTACAGCGCGTTCAAATCCTAGTACCTTCGTGGTAGCTCCTGTAACCGTTGTGGCATTAGTTGCAACGGCAGCGGTAGTGCCAGCAGTGGTACTGGCAGTTGTGCTAACCGCCGTACTGGCCGTGGTACTGGCGGTCGTACTAGCAGTCGTACTTGCTGTCGTGCTTACTGTTGTGCTGGCTGTCGTGCTAACCGTCGTACTGACCGTGGTGCTAGCAGTCGTACTTGCTGTCGTGCTAACAGTGGTGCTCACTGTCGTACTCGCCGTAGTGGTCACAGTTGTGCTCACTGTCGTACTTTCCGTTGTTGTGCTAGCAGTCGTGGAAACGGTCGTACTCTCCGTTGTGGTAGGCGTTGTACTCTCCGTCGTGCTCTCGGTTGTGCTCTCTGTCGTGCTAGCAGCCGTGCTGGGTGTAGTGCTGGCCTTGGTCGTAGCTTTCGTGGTGGTAGCTTTGGTAGTGGTCGTTTTGACGGTTGTCTAGAATGAATTAGTGAGAGTTTCAAATGCCTAAAATACCGCCTTTGTCGTAGTAGCACAGGCATTTGTAACATTGTTGCAGTTCGAGCAGAAGCATTCGTACATGATGCCGCCCTGGATAGAAACATGGGCCAAAGACAATTCACAAACCCCATCCAACTGCTTGCACTGACCGGCAGCACATTGATCTGCATTGGCACCGCCGGCGGCTGAAAACTAAGGGTTGATCAGATCGAAATATAGCTTACGCCCTTGGCTGCAACCGCTTCCGAAATCTGAAAAATGTTTTTAATGGAGTGAGCGCACTTTTTAATGTATCGCAAGCCCAAACAAACCGATTAAAACAATATAATGCAAGGAAGCCAACGAAAAATCGGAAATGCAATGTGACTTACTTCCCGTGCAGTCATCGGCTAAAAACAGTAAAAGTTATTAACTATACCGAAACATCGCTTACTTGCCAAAGCAACCTGAATCAGGAAAAGCACCACCAACAGCCGACTAACCATTGCTAAAATGTAGCCGGAAATTCGGGACCGCCGGCTTAAATCTATGTTCCTTTTTCCGAGCCCATTTTTCGGGCCGTCCAGTTCAACACGTGTTTGGGCAGCCGTTCGAGGTCATTCTGGCCATCGGCTGGGTGCAGCTATAGCTGGGGTTGTACATACATTGAAAATCTTGTTGCAATGGAGTATCGATCGGAGATTAAAGGTTGGAACTCGCAGAGAGCAACGCAGCAGCATTGCGGTTCTTCCGGAGACCCGCAAGGAAATCTTGCAGCGAAAGGCAGCAGCGATAGATAACGTTATGAAGCGCAAGGCTAGTATCTTGTCGGCACTCTTTATAGCGCGCCCTTATGACCGTCCCCCGCTATTTCGCAAGGGCCCCCATTAGGAATTTCGCCCACAATTATTGACTCGTCTTAAGCTAAAATTGTAAACCTTGTTAGAAAGTTAAGCACTTACAAAGCTCAGTAACTAGGTAGTTGCATAAAGTCTTGGCTTTTTGTGGAAAATTCGGTTCCACTAGCGTAGTGCAAGTACCTGTATTTAAAAAAGTTTTTCACGCTATTAGATCGCACTCTAGTGTTTAATTGATTTGTTTTGAGAGGATTTGTAGGATTCGATTTACATGATTTATTAGTCCGAATCAAGCGAGTTCGGTTAGCAGATATTGCACGTCGACGAGCAATATGAGGCGATCTGGGCCTGGGTGTAGGCCGAGTTGGTGCAGAAGCCACTGGCCGCCCAGCTAGCACAGCTGAAAGAAATGATTAATTTACTGCTTATCTATGCTAGTGTAGGGTATCTAAAATCCACGTACTTGGCACTAGCATCAGCCGGGCACGTCTTCTTTGTGGCGGCCTTGGTGGTTGTCTTCGTGGTCGCGACAGTTGTCGTTTTCGTGGTGGCCATGGTCTGAAACGAGGATTAGGACAGACTGAGTGCCATTAGATCAATTCTGGGTTTTTTGGAAGTTCAATGAAGCATTGAGGCTTACCGTCGTCGGTCCACATTGACCGCAGTAATTCGGGCAATACTGCCGACGCTGAGCGGCTGTGTACCCAGATGACGTGCAAAAACCGTTCGCAACCCACGTGGCACAACTGACGACGCATTTTGATTTTTTTTCAGTTGGGTGGAGGACATTACACACAACTTACTTAACATCATCCGTCCCGCAGCTCGCTTTTGTTGTAGCGGTGGTGGCAGTGGTGGCGGTTGTCTACAAACCAGATGACTAGTTTTATATTCCTGTACCTTGGTTGCGGCTTTACTCGCAGTGGTGCTGGCCATTGTACTCACCAATCTAAGGTTTAGATCGACCGAGAAATGTCATATAATAGGTAGCTGATGGAGTTGTTGCTTTTCATGGTTTGCTGTAAAACGATCTTCCCCTTACCGTTGTCGCGCCACATTGGCCGCAGTAATTCGGGCAGTATTGTCGTTTCTGTGCGGCAGTGTACCCGGTTGAGGTGCAGAAGCCATTCGATACCCAGACAGCGCAGCTAAAATTTCGAATTCGAAGCATTGATTAGTGCTTACTTTGCATCATCCGTTCCACAGCTCGACGCCGTTGTAGCTACATTAGCAGTTGTCTGAAAACGGAGGGCTAGGTTGGCGACAATCCATAGTTAGATACCTTGGTGGTCGCCGTAGTGGAGGTACTGGCAGCTGATGTGCTGGCAGTGGTACTAGCGGTGGTACTGACCGTGCTACTGGCTGTGGTACTTGCCGCACTGCTAGCTGTCGTGCTCTCGGTAGTGGTGGCTTTGCTGGTGGTCGTGGTAGCAATCGTCGACTGAAATGGTCGACATTTGAAAATTTGATTTTTTCAGACAGTTTTTGTTGTAGCTGTGCAGGTATTCGTATTGTTATCGCAGTTACTGCAGAAGCATTCGTACATGAAGCCACCCTAAAACCAAAATGGATTGAACAGGCCGGATTCCGAACTCCGTCAAGTTGTTTGCACTGATTGGTATCGCACTGATCAGCGTTTGAGCCACCGGCAGCTAAAAATCAAAGAATGGCACAAGAATCTTCATACATATACCATTAGCCAGATCGTAACTTACGTCCGTAGCTGCACCCGCTTCCGAAGTCTGAAAAACGACCTTATGCCGCCGATCAGTGATAAACAAAATAAATAAACATCAAAATAAGGAAAGGTGGAAACAAAACTTACTTCCCGGACAGTCGTCAGCTGAAAATAAAACTTTTCATGAAATCATGTAGCAATTCCCTTACTTGCAAAGGCAACTTGGACGAAAAAAATTACTACCAATAGATACCTAACCATCGCTAAAATGTAGCCGGAAACTGGGAGCCATCGGCTTAAATCCAGTCCCTCTTACGAAGGCATTTTTCCGGTCGTCCTCTTCAACACGTGTTTGTGCAGGCTTATGGGGCACGGCTGCCGAAGTTCTGGGTGCGGATGCAGCGGGTGGTGTCCATAAAAAGTCTTGTTGCAACGAAACGTGAACAGATAGAATTTGGATTATGTAAATTATCCAAGATAAGTTTTGCAACTTGGTTTCTATTATTTTCCAAGTTTTCCCTATACGAATTACTCCACGATTTTTCAGTTCATTTCAACGCCGAAGTTAACACAAGTTTGCAAAGAAACTATGATACCTTGCCTCTTCTAAGGAATTCGGTGACGAAACAGTTCATTTTATCGGCCTAGCGAAATAATAAAATAAAGAAATGGCCTAGCGTAGAGTTGATCAAAAAATTTCCTAAGCCCGAGACAATTTTGCATTTTTATATCTTGTTACACTGATCAATCTCGACTCACAAACCTCCGGATCAGTTTCGAAACAACTTCCGCTTTGCAAGGGCCATATTTTGAGGATTTCCCCTTGCAGGGGCAGGGTTTGTAGGGACGTGGCCCGGGTTTTTAAACGCTATTCGCCGCTGCTGCGCAAACACGGGGGTCATGTTCGCTTCAAAATCGCAAATTTATGTTGTCCCAGGTTTACCAGGCGGGAGTTGAACTAAGTATTGATTGACCGCGGTTAGACACTTCGAATCAAAAGGAAATATTATTTTTTTTTCGTTTCTTTCACTGGATATGATTTATTAGTCAACTGCCAGCTGTTTCTAGCAAGTTTTGCAAGTCGTCGAGCAATACGAGGCGATTTGAGCGGCAGTGTAGCCCGGGTTGGTGCAGAAGCCGTTGGCTGCCCACGTCACGCAGCTGTAAAAGTATGATGTGATCTTAGAGCCCAAACTTACTTTGCATTGCTGTCAGCGGGGCACACTTTAGCCTTCGCCGTTGTTGGCTTGGCTGTGGTCTTCACGGTTGCTTTCACGGTGACTTTTTGGTCGTGGGCTTGACTGTTACTTTGGCAGTTGTTTTCTGGAATAAAATTGCTTAAATTGTCAAGAGAGGTTTCTTAAACTGTCTTTTTCAAGTCTAGGAATCTACTTACCGTCGTAGCTCCACACTGTCCACAGTAGTTCGGGCAGTATTCGAACTTCTGCGCGGCTGTGTATCCGGTGGAGGTGCAGAAGCCGTTCGAGACCCACGTTGCGCAGCTGGAAATAATCATCTCTGGCTGCCACGCAATAAATGCCTGCCAGCGTGTTAGGTATGGATAGGGAGGCAAACCTCATTAACTGACAAAAACATACTTGGAATTATCAGTGCCGCAGCTAGTTCCGCGCTTGGTTGTGGCAACGGCTTTGGCGGTGGTCTGAAAATATCCAAAATCACTGCTTACGTGATTCTGAGGTAGAGCCCTTACCCACAGAGAAGATAATCTAGTGGGAGTATTGACAGATCGTTTAATCAGATTGTTTAATCGTTTTTAATTGCTATGAGCCCACCTTAACTGTCACGACAGCTTTCGTCGTCACGGCAGCAGCTTTGGTTGTGGCCGCTGTGGCTCCAGCCTTTGTTGTGGCGCCAGCAGCTGCTGTCTGAACTCTTTTACCTCATTAAGACTTAGAGATTCTAATTCTAGTTAGATACCGAAAGCTATAATAAAAAGCCAACATTAATAATTAATGTTTTTTTGATTGGCGCGCCGAAAAACGTACAGGAGCTGCAGTCGTCTTGCAGGTGTTGGTGTCGGCATCGCAGTTGGAGCAGAAGCACTCGTAGAGGAAACCACCCTAAAAAGCCATATATTTTTTTAAAATTTATTATACCTCGTCAAGATGCCTGCATTCACCCACATCACATTCGTCGCCGTTGGCTCCGCTGGCCGCTGTGATTTATTTATTAGGCTCGCAATTTCGCAGATTTCTTGTAGCTTGTTTTAATTTACGACGTAGAAAACTTTTTGTTATCTTGACGAACCTAACTATAATTGAAATAGGTTTGCTTTTGATAAAACAAATCTGTAAAGTCTCGAAGGGTGGAAAATGTCTTACGTCCGGAGCTGCAAGTGCCGCCATACACTAAAAATTAGATAATTACAGAAATAGAAGGTACGCAAAAAAAACTTAGGAACAAAAGAACTGAAAGGGGGGCAGAAGAACGAGTTCGTGTATCACCAACCTGCCGGGCAGTCGTCGGCTGAAAAAAAGTAGGATAATCGTTAGAATTTACGAACGCCTTACTCGCTAATGCAACCGCGACGAGGGCAAGCAGCGCCAATAGTAGTTTAGCCATTGCCAAATGTGAGCAGAAATCGTGGGGTTTCCCCTTTATAAGTCCACTTGGGGTGTTCCTTCCTACGTGTCCGTCAAGTATAGTCGAATATTTGTCCAGGTGAGCGCAAGGATGTGGGCATCGGAGTTCGGCGCCAGCCTGATTGACCTTTAAAGGTATGTTTGAAAAAGGGGTTTATGGCATCACAGATCAGAAAAGTGGGCGGAATGATTTGTGATCGGTATATAGTCAATTATAGTTTTCAACCGGACGGTGATAAGGGCAGCCTCTCATAAGCAGTTCCCTACGATGTTTTTAGATTTCAAAAGCTAAAATGGCAGTTGTATGTGCGCAGATGCCCACCTCCTGAATAATCTTTGGGTCTGGCTCATCAGCGCGTACCTATCTAGACCCCCATACGACTCTCTTTGGGGTCCTTTTCCGGATTTAAAAAGAACCAAGCATCGGATCGCGAAACTGAATACACCATCGGGACCGGCGACACTTTTGCCATACTATAAGCTTTAAAAATTGAAAAAGAGTTAAATTTCGAATTTTAACAGCCGATTTAAATTGCGTTTCGAGGGGGGTCTGCGTTTGTATGTATGTATGCTAGTCAAAACCTTGTGAAATTGTCAAAAAGTGCCTTTCCACCATCCGTTTGGGCTGAAATTTTGCACAGTTATTGGGTGACTGATAATCTCGGACCGCAAGAAGAGTTTTTTTCAAAATAGGCTTTTAAAAAATTTATATTTAATTTTTTAAGTTTAGAAGCTAAATTGCGGTCAAAACAATGGTTAGTGATGTTCGTTTGGGCTGAAATTTTGCTCGAACATACATTAGACCATGCTGGAATAAGTAAAGAAGAAATTGCAACGAAAAAATGCTTCTTCTCTGAGATATTATAACTTTAAACCTTCGCCATACGGGGCGCCACCCTCCCCTTTGGCGGCCCCAGTCCCGCGGTGCGTCAGGGCGGGCGGGTTCAGCATCCCCATGCCGACAGGCCTCCAGTCTCCCTGTTGGCCTAGTGGTTAGCACGCTGTACTGGGAGATTTGGCTCCTGAGTTCGAACCCCACCTGAAGCATGGTTTTTGGCCGATTGGCCCCTGTGCATCCTTATGGTTTTTAAAGTGGTCGCAAAGCGCCGCAGGCCAATTTTTGGAAGTTGTGCGTACAAGGGTTCATCTGAATGAGTATTCCTTGGCTTATTTTACGATCTTCACAATAAGATTGAGGCAAAAAGGGCTAAATTCTCTCTAAGGCTAAAAAGAGTCTTTTTAAAAAAGGGCTTTTGGTTTTCGCAAAAAGAGACGAATTCTCGTGGCAACAAAAAGAGCTAAATTCCTTTCAAACTCTTAAAAATGCTACAGAATGTGGGATCAACCAAAAGTTGCTGGCACCTTATTAAAATGGACAGATCTAGTTTCTAGCGGTTTCGGCTTGCAAATCATTTCTGTATTATGATCTATTTACACTTTCTTGAAATTAAACTGTGGACCTGACCTGTGATCTGGGATGGTACCGAGTTTATTAAGATTTTAAATAGCCAGTAACTTTTTGTTGTTCCGCATTTTGTGGCATTTT